AGGTGGTCGTTACCAGCGGCGGCGGCTTTCACAGTAGGGGCGGAGAAGCTAAAACTGAGTGTAGTAGTATGGGGCTACCGGGAAGCTAGAAATTGGCAAAATTAAAGGTGATGGTTGTGATAGGTGGAATGGGAAGATGTGGGTGGGATAATAATGGTGAATGGCATATCTATGGAAGATTAGATGAATCATTTACTCGTCCGGAAAAAAGTATTTGTACGGGTTTCGAAATAGAGAAATCCCTAAGCTGGGATACAAAGCAAGGAAAGTGTTTTTGACAAAGGCGACATTCAATAACAAGGAAAGTGTCTTCAGCAATGGCGACATTAGTTCATACGGGAAAAAAAAATACCAACTATATACAATTATACACAACGAAATACAGATGTATAGAATTATACACAATAAAATACAGATTCTTTTTTATTTTCTTTTTTCGCAATAAAGGAGTTGTAGCCTCGGCTTGTAGGATGGTTGGAAACTAGATTAGGTCAAATTTTGGGAATCTTCGCCGTCTTGAAATTGGATTAGGTCAAATTTCGCAGCATGGGAATCTTGGCAGCATTGTACATACGGGTAAGAATACCGTATTTACTCCACTTTTTTAAAAAAAAATTAATGGAAAAGGTATATCGTCTTTTCCAAAGACGACATTCTATCTCCCATATATCGTCTTTCAAAAAGACGACATTCCCTCCCCCGTAACCCACCTTACCAATTTCCTGATCTCGAATCCCGGTCTTAATTTTCTCCTCACCGGAAAAATCACCCGGAAGGTTACATGTCAAAAGACTCGTATACTGGAGCTTTTGGATTTAGACTCAGGCCACATCCAAATTGTTAAATTTTTTTTTTTGGTGAGTTTTTGTAGGTATAATTAGAAAAGAGAAAACGGGAGAGAGTGTAAAAAGGAAATTAAAAAAATAAAGGAAAAAACAAAATCTGTAAACAAAATTAAAAATAATAATAATAATAATAATAATAATAATAATAATAACAGCTAAACATGTGCACTGCACGCATCGGTCTGGAGGCGGGATGTGCACTAAACTTGCAGAAATAGAGTATTATTCTTCCATTTCTCTCTCCTGCGGAACCCATAAAAAACTTTTGTCTTGCAAAAGAAAAAACATAGAAAAAAACTATTTGTTTAAAAACCATTGAATGGATTTTTGACTTGTAAAAACTAGAGCAAAATCCACAAATGTGGATGTTCTAATGAGACCTATCACTAATGGATAGTTATGTTGTGCATCCGTATGCACCATGCATGGGGCATACGTATGCAAAAACGACGTCGTTTTATTAAAAACGCGCATCCCACTTAAAAAAATCAATTTTGATTCCCCTCAACAGGATTATGTTGTTCATTCATTCTAGAATTTTAGTTCATAGATTCTGGAATTTTAGTTCATAGATTCTGGAATTTTAATTCATAGATTCTGGATTTTTAGTTCATTGATTCTGGATTTTTAGTTCATTGATTATGGAATTTTAGTTCATCAATTCTGGAATTTTAGTTCATAGATTCTGGAATTTTAGTTCATCGATTCTGGAATTTTAGTTCATTGATTCTGGATATATAGTTTAAATTATGCACAATATAATGTTGTTGCTGAGAATCGAAACTGAATATTTTTTTTTTAAAGTGAGACGCACGTTTTTAATAAAACGACATCGTTTTTGCGATGCACAGCATAATTTTCCATCACTGATGAGATGGGTCTAGTACTGTCAAAGTTGGTTGAAGCCTGTGGGCTAGCCCGCACTTGTCCCGCGGTGGGGTGGGATAGGGTTATGGAAAATAGGCCCGCGAAAATGCGAGTCTAACGGGCGGGCTAGAATCAACCCACAGCTTGCGCAGCCCGCCAACCCTTGGGTTGCATGAACCCTAGCCCGTGGGCCGGTCCGCAAAAGCCCGCCAAAAAATTGGCCCGCAGTGGGGCGGGCCTAATGGGCCAGGCCGGCCTGCTTTCACAATACTACTTGTTAGCCCTTTTAAAAGATTAACGAGACCCACAAGACCCATCAGTGATAGTTCTTGTCAACTTGTGTTGTTTGTTTCAAAAAAAAAAAAATTGTTGAAGATAATTTCTGACAAGAACAATAAATGCAAATGAGACTAGCACTTCTTGTATACACTTTGAAAAATGAAAGTGCTAATTGCGTTTGTTGTATTTCAACAAAAGAATAATAATTTTGAAATTTGCATAAACTCAACTGCAACTTATGTTTTTGACAAAAAACTCAAGTCATAAACGAGTTTTTCCTCTTTTTTCAAGTTCTAAAAGTTGTTCATTCTTGTCACTTGTTCATAAAAATAGCCCATTCCAGAGGTCAAAGTCCATATGAAGTCCTTGTATTGTAGTGTTTTGTTCAATTTAGTTTTTATACCAATTTATTCTGTTCAATTCAGTCCATCTACTTTAAAAAGTGGTGAAACTAAGGACAATAGTTAATGATGTTAATATTACCGTTAACTTAGCATATATGGCACTGACATCATTGAAGCCACATCATGATATTTATATTCTTGTTCATATATTAATTACAAACATGCTGACATCAAGTGTCCAAATCTCATTAGGAATATGATTGTAATTATTTATTTTGAACATACTAGTTTAATATATTGGTGGTAAAAATACTAAGACTATGTGGTCTAATGGTACCCGGGTTGAACTTCCATTTGGAAGGTTGTGAATTCGAGCCTTAGATAACTTACGTTAACGGTAATATTAACACTGTTAACTATTGTCCTTACTTGCACTACTTTTTAAAGTACATGGATTAAATTAAAAAAAAAAAGTATAAGGACTAAATTGAACAAACACTATAGTACATGAACCTCGTAGGTAGTTTGACCCATTTCAATCAAAAATCTTTTATTTTATACCTTATATGTTGATTAATTATTGAATTTAGGGTGGTCGATTTTGTGGGGCGTAAAAGACAGGGTTATTTGCTTAATTGGGAAGGAATTAAAACATGTGGATATCTATATGATGCTTTTAAAAGTTGGGGAAACCTATGCAAAACTCATTTGAAACTTGAGTTTTTTTTTTTTTTTTTTTTTTTTTTTAAACGTAAGTTTTAAATGAGTTTGTCAATTTTTTGATTTTTTCACCTAAAATACGAGAAACACAAGTGGAACTTGCATTTGACGTATATATACTGAGATGACTTCCCTTTCTCGTATGTTAGGCAGGAAAAAGAAAAAAGAATTTCAAAACATTAACATATTGGGACTTGCATTTTTACCAAAAACTCAAGTTCAAAAACGAATTTTTTCTAAATTTGTTAAACTTTTAAAAGCATAATAATTTTGTCCACCTAATTCCTTTCCATACTGTCGTCATGGGTTATAATGGAAGTATGGAACTTTGAAAAAAAGATGTAAAAGAAATAATGTATTCATGTCTTCAGATCATTTTTATGTAAGAGATTAGGCTATGATTATCCTAGTCAATGAGCATATTTGCAAGATGATGTAGCATTAGTCACATTATTTTTATTTTTTTATTAACAGAGTTTGCAAATTTGCATCTTTTGTAAATTTTCAAACCCGGAGCATATTTACAAAATTAACATTATTAGTTGTATTATTTTTTAATATTTTAATATAACTAATACTGTTATTTTAATATATTGGGCTGACTTTTGAAAGTTGATTAAATTTGCAGGGATGTATGGTGAATAGTAAATGATTTGCAAATTGGATAATATGGAAGTGAGACCTATTTTTGAAAATGAGAGAGATTTGCAGAGATAAGGATAACTTTAGGGAAAAAGTTCAAATTGCCCTTCCAATTTTACCTGAAAAATCAATAGGCCCCTAAACTTTTAAAATGTACAATTGCACACATTAACAATTAGTGATCTACTATCGCATGTCAGTAGGGTTCTGACAACCCACCGGCGACATTTTAGACAACAAAGTGATCAACGAACGGTCGTCGGTCGCTTTTGAAGAACGGAGAAGTTGACCAAGGTGGCCTTCTCGTTAGAGAAGGCAACCTAGTGGTGGCCTTCTCCTAGAGAAGGCCATCACCGTGGTTGCCTTCTCACCGGAGAAGGCACCCCGTGGTCGCTTTCTGCTGGAGAAGGCCACCACTATAGTCGCCTTTCAGGTAAGAAGGCGGCCACTAGGTTGCCTTCTCGGACATTAGTCTCCCTTCTCTGTTCTTTAAAAGTGACCGACGACCGTTCGTCAATTGCTTTGTTATTTAAAATGTTGTCGTTGGATTGTTGAAAACTAACTAATGTTTGGATTTCATTGCACTAAAATAAATTGTTGATGGGTGTAATTACACCTTTTAAAAGTTTAGAGACTTAGTTGATTTTTTAGGTAAAGTTAGAGAACTTATTTAACCTTTGTTTCCCTAACTGAATTGTTAAGCCTGCTCTATACTTAAAGGGAAGAGGACATTTGATTAAGAGTAAATACTGGCAGAGGTCCTCCGACTTTGGTGGCAATGCCAATTTTAGTCCTCAACTTTTAAATCAACCACTTTTAGTCCTCTTACTTTTTGTTTCTAGCCACCTATGGTCCTTTCGTTAAACTTGACCATCTAATGCTGTTTTCTAAAAGACAATTCAGTCCTTTCATAATTAATTTATTAATTATTATGTTTAATTTCCGCTTCAGAATAGTCAAACAATGGTTTCCGCAGTTATGAACATGTACAAAACCAGCTCGTGAATCAAAATGGCGTACAAAAGCTGGTACAAAGGTCGTGCCAAAACGCAGTCGGGATATCTCGGCATTAGATGATCAAGTTTAACGGTAGGGCCTTAGATGGCTAGAAACAAAAAGTAAGAGGACTAAGAGTGGTTGATTTAAAAATTTAGGACTAAAAGTGACAGTGCCACCAAAGTCAGAGGACCTCCGCTGATATTTACTCTTTGATTAAAAATGGATGAATTCTTTCAATTCTCTGTATTTACTAATAAATTTTTTTTAAAAAAAAAAAAAACATGGCAGACAGCTTGCCAGCAAGCACTTGTGACTTGTGAGACTCTTGCTTGCATATTATCTTTCAGAGTTCAGTGTGCAATATTCTTATCAAATTAAAAATTGGAATTGAGATAGATCATAGATGGCTTGTGTTGCTTTAGCTTCTCTGATTGGAACCATTGAGATTGAGTTTGTGCAACCCACCCCAAGGGTACGGCTGTCTCCCCATGATTCGCCACTAATCATATCTATCATTGAAAACCTATCTTGTTTGCAAGCCTTTCTCCAGAAGAAATCCAGTGGAGATGGAGATGGAGATGCACTCAGAGAATTGGAAATCCAAATCAGAGACTTTGCAATCAAAGCTGAAGACGACATTGAATTACAACTTAGCAACATCCTTCACGCTGAAGACCGGAGGGAGTATCGAGAAAAAGCTTCCGATGAACTCCATCAAACACTGGAAGAAGCTGCGAAAAATGCAACAAAGCTGTTGGAGTCATGTGTAAGTGAGAGAGAGATGGCTAGTGTTGCTTTAACTATTCTCATCAAAAAATTTAGGCATTACTTTTGGCAACACTCCCCAACGGTGTATGGTGGTGATGTAGCTGCAACGTTATCTTTCTTACGAAAGCTTTCTTCTCTGCGAGATTGCTTATTGCAAGGGAATTCCATTTCTGGTGCTGCTATCAAAAAATTGGAAACCAAAATCAGAATCTTCGCACTCGAAGCTGAACATGACCTAGAAATACAACTAAGCAACTTCCTTCAAGCCAAACACACCTCCAAAGAAGAATCTAATTCCCAGAAGCTCCATCAAACCTTGGGAAAAGCAGCCGAAATTGCGGCAAAGTTGTTCCAGATTATCGACAGAGAAAAAGAGCATGAGAAAGAGAGGGAGGTGAATTGTGATGCTTTAGCTTCTCTCAGGAAAACAATTGATAAGATGGAGTTATCAATGACGTCTCTTCATGATAAAGATAAAAATAAAGCGGGAATCAAATCTAATTTATTGGAAAAGCTTTCTTCTTTGCAACTCTTTCTGCACAAGGAATCCAATGGTGGAGGTGGAGGTGGGGGTGGAGGTGGGGATGGAATGAAAGATTTGGAAACTATTGTTGAAAACTTTGCACTCAAAGCTAGACATGACATCAATCTACAACTAAACAGTCTTCTTCAGGCTAAAGATACAGAGTTTGAAGAAAAAGTTTCACAGGAACTCCATCTGACCATGCAAGAAGTAGCAGAAACCGTAGCAGAGTTATTGAACACAATCAACTGTAGAAGAAGCAATGAAGTTGATGATGATGAGGCAAATGAAACTCAACCATGGTTAAAACATTCTGCTGATGCTTCCAAGTATGATGGATCCTCCTTGCATGGCTTTCTAAAGCCTGAGGGCAGAATGGTTGGTCGTCTCCATGATAATAGAGTGATAAAGAACCAACTAATCTCTTTCCAGTTTGGACTAAAGATAATCTCAATTGTTGGAATGGTGGGTATTGGAAAGACTACTCTAGCAAGATATGTGTATGATGATGCATCAGTTGCATCCTATTTCGATGTAAGAAGTTGGGTTACTATACCTCCTCAACACTACAATAAGAGACGAATACTAATCCAACTTCTTAAGTCAATTAAGCCAGAGGAGCCAAATATAATTAAAAAGGGAAGCACTCCAGTTGAACTACAAATGCAGGTACGCAATTGCTTACGTGGTAGGAAGTATCTAATTGTTTTGGACAACATTATGAGCGGTGAAGCTTACACTGACATCATAAATTTGGTTCCCGATGACAAAGTTGGAAGTCGCATATTACAAACCACTAGACACTTTGACCAACATACCAACGGGAAAATGTATGTCCATCACATGATGTTGCTAGACCCAAAAGAAAGCTGGGAACTATTTGGTAATATCCTTTCTATTGAAGAGCACTTGGCCCCTAAATTTGAAAAAATTAGGAACCATGTTGTGGAGAAATGTGATGGATTACCACAATTAATTGTTGAAGTTGCCAAGCGTTTATCTAAATGCAATAACATAAAACAAGGGTGGAAGAAGATTGAAAAGGAATTAGAGTCATTGGGACTTCTAGATCGCAATGCACTCAGTGTTAGTTACAATATGTTGCCACATCATTTGAAAGTTTGCTTTCTATACTTTGGAGTCTTCCCAAAACGTAAAAAAATTCTGGTTAAAATGCTTATAAGGTTGTGGATTGCCGAGGGATTTGTGACGCTATTGAAACATAAGGAGTTAGAAGATGAAGCTTATGAGTACTTACAAGAGCTTACTGATACAAGTCTTCTCTTAATTGAAGATCAAAGTTGTAACGACAAAATAAAGACTTGTAGAATGCACAGTGCTATGCATAGCTTCTGTGTAGTAGAAGCTCAGAAAGAAGGTATTTTATGTGCAGTAAATACTCAGCAACATCTAGGATTGTCTTTAAAAGCATTTGCAAATTCCTGTCGTTGGCTAAGTTTGTACTCACACAGTTTTGACTATTATGTGCTCTTTGGTACAAACATCCCTCGCTCCATTTTCTTTTTCCATGACAATCCTGAAATGTTTGTTCCTCCCAAGTTGTTAAGAGTTTTGGCTTTTGATACTTCTATATCATTTCAAAGAGTGCCAGTGCAATTAGGGGGTTTAGTTTTTCTGAGATACCTATCCATAACACAATGGTTCAAGGATCTGGATGATGTAGTGTCAAATAATCCAAATTTAGAGACACTTGTTGTTTCCGGTAATGGAGCACCAACTGTCCATTTGCCATCTAATATTTGGAAGCCACCACAATTAAAGCATCTCGAACTTGGCAATTCATATATGGTATATCCTCCAAGTGCAGATAAAAAGGAGTTTAAAACATTATCTTGGGTGGTGAGACCAGTTCATTGCAGAAAAAAGATGTACAGCAAGTTCCCTAACATAAAAAATTTGAAAATTTTGCTGAAGGATGACATAGAGCCCCCCAGTCACATTGGAGGATGTTGCAATAATCCTATTATTTTGGATCATTTTGACTATTTTAAATGGCTTGAGAAGCTAAGCATCTCAGTTTCTATTGGTTGCAATGCAGCCCTTCCAGAACAGTGGGTCTGTATCCTTTAGGACTGAAGAAGTTGAAGTTGAAAGGGACTAATATTTCTCAGAGGGATTTAAATGTAATTGCCAAGTTACCCCAGCTTAAGGTGCTCAAGTTGGAACATGCCTTCCATGGAACAATATGGAAAGTAGCCGATGGAGGGTTTCCTGAATTAATATTCTTGCTCCTTGAAGCTAAAGAACTCAAGCAATGGGTACTTAGCTCCCAGTTTGGCCTTTTCAAATTCAGACACTTAGTCTTAAGATCTTGTAATTGTTTGGAACGGATGCCAGAGAATTTTATAGGTTACTGCTTGGAGTCAATTGAGTTTGAGGGGTGTCACTCTTCCCTTGTTGCTTCTGCCAAGCAGTTTCAGCAGAAGAGAAGATTAAAAAATCTTAAGGTTAGAGGCTAAAACATCTTTCATTCTTAATTTTTATTCATTTTCTTTTCAATGCTGAATGTTTTTACAAAATCAATTACTATTTTATTTTTCTGATCTCATTTTGTTTTCTGCCTTACTTTTCGCAGATCAAAGTTCTGGACCCTAAATATGATGAATCACAGAATACTCATACAGAAGTGTCTAGTAATTTACTATGACATCATTATGAATACACATACAGAAGTTGGTAATAGATGGTACTGAAACATGGGCTCAAGAGCTTTCTGTCAAACATTGTTAAGGAGATCTAAAGTTAGGATGTTCTGTCTTTTTGAAGAAATCATGTTGGTAGTTAGGCAAGCTGCCAAGCAGGTAAATTCATATTTTATCTAGTGCCTATATGGGATGATTAATATACTACTTTACATCTATGTTTCTGTTTCTTTTCTGTTTTGCAATTAATCCCAAGTACAAATATGCTTTTGCAGATTGGTATATACTAATTGAATACCTTTTTGAAAATTTTTCAAGCTAGGAAGCTGCAAGTCTCAAGTATTGAAGATCTACAGGTAAGGGAAATTTGCTTGGTTATGTTCCATCTAAACTTGACTGATTAATATTGATTTGCAAAGCTAAGTATAATTCTAAAAACTTCTTCATGAGATTGGTTACATCCATTTCATGCATTTTCTAAGGTATCCAATGAAAGATTTTACAGTGATCTTGGTTTCTAAGAGAGGGCTTTCAAAATTTGTACTTGGTCTTCATGTGATTTTGTTTACCATTCTCTTTTAAGCTACTGAATGCTCAAGACTAGAGATGCATGATGTTCTTGAAATTTCTTGTAGAACCTGCAAAGAGGTTGCAGAATAAGCATGAAATTAGTTGAAGCAAAATTGAAAAGGATAAATGAATGACTCATTCAATTTGCCAACAACTGACAGAATGAAATAAAAAATGGAAAAGCTGTATTTCTCTAGAATCACAATATGAAATTATCTTGCAAAACTTGCACCTCTACAGTTGCTAACAACTCTGCAATTTGTTTTTGTGATGATAATGTGTTTGTTGCATTCTTTTTGGTGTAAACAGGGTAGTGAGGAGAATTGGAAAAGGTTTACTAGCAACTTGGAGAATACCTTCCATGGAAAAGTATGAGAAGTAGCTAAAGGAGAATTATGTAGACTGAGATTCGTGCTTCTTGAAGCTAATAAACTCAAGCATTGCACGTGCAATGGTGATTTCCCATGTCTCGAGTGGTTAGTCTTGAAATTTTATTGTTTGGAAAATTTCTCTTGGTGTTTATTAGAACATTTGAACCTGCGGTCAATTAAGTTGGATTGGTGTGGCCCTTTGTTGCTTTGGTAAGCAGATTAAGACTGGCAAGTTGAAAAGGATAAATGAACAGATGTTAAAGCTTGTTTCATCATTAATTTTTATTTCTTTTCTATCAATGATGTTATTCTTTACAAAATCAGTAACTTTTTTGTTTTTAATCTGATTTCATTTTCTGGATTATTTTTCACAGACCAAAACTCTTAGACCCTGAATATGATGAATCACAGAAAACACATACAGAAGTGTCTATGTAAGAAGTCTTATCCAGCCTCATAGTATACAACTGCTAGAAAATGGTAAGTATTAGGTTACATGTGTCTGGTGTCTACATTTTTATTTGCATACCAAATAAAATGATGCGCTGATTTTTCAATTGAATAATTTTTGCATTTTCTAGAGTTCATCCCACTTTATTTATTTTATCTAAGTAGTTATACAATCCAGGTTTGGGCTTACACTGGAGTTAGGCTTATATAGTTGTAATTACAAAATAAATTCATTTTTACAATTTAGAATAATATCACTCTATCACCACATTATAACCTGAAAGAAGATCAATATTGCTCTATATATACATGTGCACACTAGGGGAGAAATGGTGTTATTTCCAATAACCTAATAGAAAGATGCACTATTGTTGGACTCTGGTTTTGTCATTGTAATATTGTCAAGATAATAGATAGTTCAAGTAGTTACTTCTTTAATTTGGTTAATAGTTAACAATTCCTCATTAATGAAAGAAACTTATGATGATGTCTCTATGATTGATTGCTACTACAGAGTATCCAAAAGTTGCTAATAGATGGTATTAAACCAAGGGCTGAAGAGCTTTTTGTCAAGAAGACAATGGGTGACTTTTTATTACCAGACATTATGAAGGAGATGCTTTTGCAGATTGTTATTCTCATTGAATACATTTTTGAGGTTGCAGAATAATAATCATGCCTTTTAATTTCCCAACAGAGAAGGAAAAGTTCTTTACCAGAGAAATTATATTAGACTGATGTTGCTTTATATTTTAATGTTATAACTACTGAACCACACTCATCAACTACTAATTATATTATTGTATTAGTAATTCAAAGATCAAATAGGATTACTATTACTGTAAGGAAAAAATTCCTAATAAATGAATGATACATTCAATTTGCCAACAATTCAAAGTATGAAATAAAAAATGGAGAAGCTCCCAAAACTCACACCTCTTTAATGGCTAAGAACTCTATTTTTATGAAGATGATGATGATATGTGTGTTGCATTCCTTTCAGTGTAAACAGGGTGGGTAATGAGGATAATTTGATAAGGTTTAGTGCAAGTTGGAGTACATGGAGCCTGCCTGAATCACATATAGATCAGAAGAGTGTATAGTTAGTTGACAAGTTGGCTTGTGTCTTTGTATTTGCATTTAATGGCATATGAAATGAAATGGTGTTGCTTCCTTGTTACAGATGATTGAAGGTTATAAATGAATTGGTTCCTCATCAACACAGAACTTAGATTTCTTGTTTGGTGCTTTTCTCCCCTTGTTACTCACTAAATTCAATTCCAAGTGCTATCACAATTGCCTTGTTTCAAAATAAAATAAAAAATGCAGTGGGTATTCTTTGACAGACAAACAGTTTCTGATTTGCAGGACATTAAGGATAAACTGCCTCAATCAGACATAACAGACTGATAAAGTATTCCTAGACCTACCCTGTAGGTCTTGTCAAAGGCAATGGATAGCACAGCTCAGGTAGTAACTATCTTTGGTGAACAGTTGACGAATGCAAGAAACTTATTGTGATTGCTGCTGCAGAGTATCCAATGGTATTGAAGCTTGGGCTCAAGAACTTCCTCTCAATGCTGACTTCCTAACATGATGGAGACGATGGAGTGGTACTTAAACTTAAGTTCTCCCAATCCTATTGGAAGTAGTCTTTTGGATGACTCCTTGGGTTTCAGTACCTATCATTAGTGCTCTTGTTGCCAGGCTAGTGTTAGCCGTCTAGAGTGAGCCACTGTGAATGTCAACTTATCAAGGGGTAAGCAGTAACGAGCGTATATTTTCCTTAGAGTTTTATAATGTTGATGCTCGAAGATATCATGTTAGTCATAGGGACAAGTGGGTAGGTAGATTCATATTTCATACATACCATGCCTATATTGATAATGATATGGCTTTACTTCTGTTTCTTTTCTATGAGTTTTAATTTTATTTTTTTGGACCAAAGGGATGGAGGAGATTCCATGAGAGATAAACCTACACAGTGAAAGGAATCCATCAAGGTTAGAAATTGCTCAAGCAATCATCCATCAAGATTCAGATCAATTAACCACCCGCATCTAGGGGTGAGCAAAATATCGGTTAACCGCCCGATAACTGATAACCGAACCGACCAAAAAAGTCGGTTTCGGTTATTGATCTTAAAATAATTTCGGTTTTTCGGTTACCGGCCGAAAATGACCGAAACCGACGATCGGTTTTTCGGTCAGTTATAGTATTACTTTCCGTCGGTTATGGCGGTCAAAAATCACGGTCGGTTTTTCGATTTTTCGGTCGGTTATGTAACCGACCAACCGTTTGCTCACCCCTACCCGCATCCCCCACTCATATTGAACAGTCATACTTGCCAGAAAAAAGGTTTTGTTTTGCTCTCTATAACCATGAACCATCCTGATACATGCTGAGGAAGTCTTATTTTATTATATTACATAGTTTAAATATTAATAAATTACTAAATAGTTATTTAGAAACTAATAAATAGTTATTTAGAAATTACTAAATAGTTAATTAGCTTATTACTCTTAGTCTTCAAAATTAGTTTAGGTAGATTAATTATTTAGAAGCTACCAAATAATTATTCTTAGTTTAGGAACCTTTGTAATCAACCCTATAAAAGGGAGTGTTATTTGGAATAATAGAAGAAGCAAAAGTTTAATCCCAAAAAGGGTCTAAGGGAGTTTTGGGTCTCAAGCAAACCCAGTGTCTTCTTCTCTTCTTTTCTTTTTCCAACTATTATTCTTTCTTCCTTTTTCCCTATGTTTTCTTGCCCATGACGGGAGCACATAACATTGGTTCCGTTGCCGGCGTCATGGGCGTCACTCGGTCTGAGTTTGAAGCTCTCAAAGAAACAGTGAATGAGTTGAAACTCTTAGCAAAAGAGCTATGCAGACGTCGCTGTGGAGAATTGGGTGGATTTCCCAATGACCTGAAGCAATGTATTACAGAATTCCTCAATGACCAAACACTAAAAATCAATACGCCAACTTCCTTAGGAAGTCAGCAAACAGATGGCGATGTTACATCACTCAACGTGGATGATTCATCATTCACAATCATTGTTGATCACCCACATGTGGAGATAGCGCCAATGCAAGCCACTATTTCAGCCGATCAGCCTCATGTCGTTTCAACACAAACGGCTACTGAAATTGAGATTGTGGCCTTTCCAAAAACTGTCCTATGCGTGGGAAGGTTATTTCCCCACTCTCCAACCCCATCTCATTTAAGGGTTGTATCGTATGGTATTGGTCAGTCTTCATCTTTGGTGTCTCCCTCATCATCCAATGTTGCTGTTCCAAATAACTCCCTCAAAGGATGTCCAAGTTTGGGTTCTTCCTCACCACTGTTTGCTCCTCCATTGATCAGTAGAATGCCACTAAAGGCTTTTCCATTTGCACTTCTTTTGGTGAGGCCATTTGATCGTGGGAAGTGTTGGCTACGTGATGCGCAAAGTTATCAAGCTTGCGGGCAAGCTTGATGTCTAGGAGGGGTGTAATGATACATGCTGAGGAAGTCTTATTTTATTATATTACATAGTTTAAATATTAATAAATTACTAAATAGTTATTTAGAAACTAATAAATAGTTATTTAGAAATTACTAAATAGTTAATTAGCTTATTACTCTTAGTCTTCAAAATTAGTTTAGGTAGATTAATTATTTAGAAGCTACCAAATAATTATTCTTAGTTTAGGAACCTTTGTAATCAACCCTATAAAAGGGAGTGTTATTTGGAATAATAGAAGAAGCAAAAGTTTAATCCCAAAAAGGGTCTAAGGGAGTTTTGGGTCTCAAGCAAACCCAGTGTCTTCTTCTCTTCTTTTCTTTTTCCAACTATTATTCTTTCTTCCTTTTTCCCTATGTTTTCTTGCCCATGACGGGAGCACATAACACATCCTTACTTCCCGCTAATGCCCCAGGCTATCACGTACTTACTAGCATCTACAAGATTCAAAATTCCCCTTCAAGGTGATGATGTTCCTGCCAACCATGGTAGAACAATTTGAGAGTCACACTCTATGCAATGTTGACAAAAACCCCTATTCCATGCAGATTGGTGAAGCCCTTGCCCTTATGCTCGAGTTAACTAATATAATGTTGATGTTTTCCAAAGAAATCATGTAGGTGGTTGTGGCATGCAGGTTGATTCATCTAGTGCCTATATGATCGATTGAGATGATGATATGACTCGACACATCTATTTCTTTTCTGTTTTTCTGGATGCAATTATATTCATTCTTTGTTTTGATATGTTTTTGCAGATTGGTGTGCTAATTGAATGCCCTGCTTGGAAGCTGCTAGTGCTCAAGCTATTGGAGATGAAGAGGTGAGAAGAATTGCTTGGTTATTTTGTTCTGCAGATTGATATTGATCTGCAAGGCTAATTAAGTATAATTTTGAAAACTTCTCTTATTAGATCTAATTCACTATGAATAACCTCCCATCTTATGTTTCAGGGGAGATAGAAACAAAGGAAACCAGATGAATCTTGGCCACTTTTTCTTTTTATTCACTTGTTAGCTGGCATGAGTTATTTTCTATATTCCATTACTGGAATTATGCACTTTTTCTTTGTTCCCATTATGCACTTTTTCTTTATTCCCTTATCAGCTGGCATAAGTTAATAAGCCATTTCCAATTAGTTTTTTTTTTTTTTTTTTTTTAGGTGTGTGTGGGGGGGGGGGCGGTGGGGGGGTGGTGTACAAAGGGGAAAAAAGAACAAACAAAAAGGAATCTCAATGATATGTTCACATGGAAAACCAAAACTAGAAACTGCACTATTACGCACATCATTCTTAATTCTATCTTTATCTCACGAATTCATGCCTACTAATGAAATTTTATTGGTTGTTGCGAGTGGATTCTATAAAGAGTTAATTCCATTATTTGTCCTAGAGTTATAGGTGACAGTCTACTTTTAGTCATTTTTTATTAGAACATCTTCATTTAGTCCTAGTATTATTATGACATAACCATTTTTAGTCATCCTCCAACAAAATCGTTGAAATGTTGTTAAATACAAAGACATCTCAATCTTTTCTATATAAAGTAGGTTGAATTGTTATATTTTTTTTGTTTATTTTGTTTTTAAAAAATCATAATTGAATACCGGAATGTCATTGTATTTTACGATATTTAAACTGTTTTGTTAATAAAGAACCAAAAATAGTTATACCACAATAATACTATGACCAAAAGTGGATGTTCTAATAAAAAAAGAACTTAAAATGGATTGTCACATATAAATTTAGGATAAAAAATGAAACTAACTCATTCTATACATTCAAAATAACATATGAACTCTAAACATAATGTCCTATTATTGGGGAGGTTGCCATTTATATATATATATATATATATATATATATATATATATATATATATATATATATATATATATATATATATATATATATATATATATATAGAGAGAGAGAGAGAGAGAAAGAAAGAAACGTGTGCCTATAGGAATACCTCATAATTTGAGTCTTAAGAGATATGGTTATTTTAAGTACAGAAGAATGACTATATTCAAAGTGTTAAGAATTAATATTTGTACTGATAATCTCATAGTAGTCTGTTAATTTTAGTCTAGTTAGTTATGCATGCATTTTCTCCTTTAGAATTGGTCTATAATTGTTGCTAGCTCCTCTTCTATGTTATATGTTGTACTTTGCCGCATCAGAATCAAATCCAGAAATCTTCTCGCAAGTAGGGGCGAAATTAAAACTAATAAGATATTTTGAAAAAAAAAAAAAACACTTAGAGGTAAGACCATAAATATTCTAGGAATGAAAAACCAAAATAGTGAGAAAAAATATTCAAAACAAAATATGAATCATAATTAATTAGATAAAATAGTTCAAAGATATTAACTACATACATTACGCACAAGGATTACCCGTAATTCAACCACCCGGTCGGTCCGCCATTAGTCACCCGGTCGATTCGTTAGATCCGCCGGCCAGATGAGTCAAATCACTTGTCATACCGCTCGTGTGTTAACATGCCTTGGATAGGTGAAGATGTTCTCGAATCACCCATGGAATTGGCGCAACGGAGCACCACCCCGCCCGGTCCGCCGTAGGTCACCCCGTCGGCTTACGGTGCGACTATAACACCCCACTTTTCTAACACTTAATTACATCTCTAAATAGTCATTAACATAACTATGCAGCGGAAAACTAGGAGATAATAGTGGAAGTGTCACCGCCACAATCACCATTCTTTGGTGATTGCACAGGCTAAAAGGGGTAAAACTACAAATAAGATTAAGTCTGGGTACTAGAAATAAATACTGGAAAAGTAAGGGGGAAAAACGTCACCCCAACACAGTCTACAACAATCCTCAAAACCATAAAGTCATAAGTCTAAATCCATAACATGATCATAATTAAAACTAGAGTTTAGAAATCTCAAAACTAAGAGACTAATCTAACTCGATCTCTTCTCACTGATGGGCCCACCTGAAAGGGGTTTTGCAAGCAACACATAGACAAACAGGAAAAACACCTGTTAGCACGAAACTAAGTATAACCACACTCAACCCTGTAAAGCATTCTAGCATATACTTTGAAAACATTTGATATCTTTATAGCAATAAGCTAATTTCAACTCATCTTAAGAATTAACACATTCTTTCTAAATGATTGCACCCTATAATATCAGCTGGCATGCTTATATATGTATAAGACTGATCACGTATATTCATCAACATATAGACTTCTCAAATAGCTTATCAAACAATTCATGCTTACAGACAGGATCATGTTAAAGGTCTATACCACAGGTATTTACATGCTTTCACATTCTTACCACATAACTTGATAAGTGGAACTTCTACTACAACACGATAATCAGGCTCAATGAATATCTCAAGTTAAACTTCTCATTAAACAATCTTTTACAATGCTCTATTCGTATACAATCATGTATAACATTATGATCATGCTTCTTATGCAATCTATTGCAACAATATATTCATACTCATATGCAATCTTGTGCAACCATATAATCATACTCTTATGCAATCTAGTGCCACAATATATTCATACTCGTATGCAATCTAGTGCAACAATACATTCATACTCGTATGCAATCTCGTGCAACAATATATTCATACTCGTATGCAATCTCGTACAACAATATATCCATACTCGTATGCAATCTCGTGTAACAATATACTCATGCTCATATGCAATCTAATGCAATAATATAATCATGCTCATATGCAATCTAGTGCAATAATATAATCATACACTCATATATAAATTAGAGTACTTTCTATGGAGGTTTCTTTGTTACTTTCTCGAGTTTTTCTTGACTCTCTTTCTTTCTCTCGAGTCTTTATTGACTCTCATACTTGAGTCTCTGTTGACTCTCTTTCTTGAGTCTCTGTTGACTCTCTTTCTTTCTCTTATACTCGTAGACGGTTTAGGGTTTCACAAATGTGTGAATTACCCCATCGGGAACGGCATAATTCCGACCCAATATTTCCTACCGTTTACGAAACCAATCTCGTGGTTCAAACTCTGTGGAATCAGGTATCAAACTATTAGTGTACACACCCCCTAACTAGGGTTCCAAGCCCGGCGGGAAGTTTCCAACCTTGTAACGTGGAAATATGCCGCGTTACATATACTGGGACCGCAATGTCCATAAATATCTCCCGAGAAGAACATAGTCCAAATGGTATCCTCCAAAACCTCATCGATATAGATAATACATAAATATATCTCTCATGCTTCAATCTCATGCATGCAACAATTCTACTATTTCTCAATGCATCAAAGAATGATATACCACATGCTTATGGTTTTTGAAAGTATTCTTGGACCCACGTTGGCCCTTTATGAATTTTTGAAATATGACTCATGTGAAATGTCAAAGTGCTCTATAACATGCTTCTAATTCATGTATAAACTAACATGAAGTATTCAAAAATATATCATCATGCTCGGTTTGCAACATAGCAATGTCTATATATTTCACTCAACAAATATGCTTCTATTCTCATTGATCAAATAATACAATTTAATCATACTTTCATAATAAATCATATTCTCAAAGGATCATGCTTCTATACTCAATAAAAATCTTATCTGATCATAAAATCAACAATTTCTCAAACACAGGGAACTTAGCAAAATATGCATTGTGTAACAATTCTTCACATAATCCTTCATAACATATTTGTTTTTAATCCAAATTCAACGAAATCAAAGCCAAAACGTGCGTCGAGACGATTCCGAAGAGCCGAGCCACAAGGGCCCGTAACACTCGGTCCGAAACAACACGTAGCTGAGCCACAAGGGCCCGCCCACTACACAAAAATCCTTCACAAACAATACTCAGGGACCTGGGGCGGGACTCTTCATAGTCCGCCCCTGGAGTCCCGTTGATGCGCCGGGACTAGGCAACGACCCTCCTCTAGGGCCGTGCCCTAGTCCCGTGCCACCACGGCTCTAGCCGGCGGCCCTTCTGATGCGCCGCGGCTAGGGCCGCCACTCTGATCTTGTGCTGTTGTGCACCAGATGGCATTTCTCCTGCAAAATCTCATTCAAACAAGTCCAAAACAATCTCAACAACTCACAAACACATACTAGATCACTTCTAAGCATAAACACATCAAAATCTCATAGTTTCTACTCATTTCTACTCAAAACCAGGCTTCACAGAGCCAAATCTAAAGAGGAATCCATGGGGGTACGGTTATACCTCTTGTAGTCTAGTCTTCTTGCTTGGATCTCTTCTTCCTCTTGACCTAGCTTGAGCCTCCTTCACCACCTACACTTCCCAAACACACCTTCTATCCTTAGCCTAGAACCTCTAAGACTAAAGAAAACTAGAAGAGAAAAGAGGCTAGAATGAAGGATGAACAAGCTTACTAGGTTGTTGTCTTTCTTCTTGTTCTTGACAGACAAACAATGTGAGGAAGAGGCAAAGAATGAGAACAGGAAAATGAGATGGAATAAGAGGGTTTATATAGGGTTCAAAACCCTAGGATGATTCACAATGATTGTTTGAGGGCAAAGGGGTAATTTTCCAAGA